TTTTGGTCGATAAGATTCTGTAATTAGGCCCATCAGAATTGTCAGCTCCAGGCCCACTTGGCTCTTCATCTGGTCCTGCCCACCGCCTCTACTTTGTTTGATGGTGTCCTTTTTTGGGGTCACCAGGGAACTGGCCTCAGAAAGCATAGTGCAAACACATCATTACACATGCTCACTCTGCACTTAGGGCACCATGACCAAGCAAAGAGATTAGAAACGGATCTCCTGCATGGTCCACCCTTAGTGGGCCAGCCTGCTTGATTGGCAGAAAGTCTGGTGTGAATTCATCTCCTTTTGGATAACGCAAGTGTCACGATTCACATCACTGACCTGGCCACTTTTACCCTGCTGCCATGATCCTACTTCATGGGACACCGTGTTAATCGCTAGAGTATTCATTTTCAGAAATTCAAAGTAAAGTTCACTTACCTGAAATGGAAAACTGAGCAATGTTTTTGTTTTGTCTACTTCAGACAAAAATGTTAAATTCACTTTGAATTTGCAAACATTCTGCCTCTAGTGAATAGCTCTGATATAATTCTATCATTTCTGGTGATTCTAGCGATACATTGGTTTTCAATAAAGCATGGATTCTGAAGAACTCACAAGAGAATTTGGCAAGTCTTAGGCCTAAGTTGCAGAGTTGGAAAAATAATTGTCCAGTTTTCAGTTTTGCCTCATATTTTAATTACCTGGTGAATTTCTGACAGTTCACTATTTCTAATGAAAAACCACAATAGTGCATTTTGTGTATGGGTTTCATCCACAGTTGTCAAATTCCGGCCAATTTCATTAGCTCTTGCAACAAATCTTCTCGGCTCCGCTCTTTGGAGGCAGAGAATGCATTTGATATACAAGGATGACCATATTTATTTTGTCTTATTTCACATTTTGGATTCCCAGATCCGTAAGTAGAGCATTAATGGCATTATATAGAGCTCAAATCAGCACCCAGTGAGAAAATACAATACCATTAATAATACCGGTACTCTTAATTTGACAGCATTGTTGGATATAGGGCTTATCCACAGATGGAAAATCTTATACAGGATCAGCTTATGCTGATGACATTAAACGTACGCTGACCCTCTCCAGTCAGCCTCTCCCTTGCCTGTTTAAAATTACCTTTCACCACTTCTCTGGGTTCAAAATAAATCTCAACAAATACAGGGACTGTCATCACATATAGATGTGACTGAGGTAGAGGCGATACAGACCATCAACTCAAAATGGTTTCTAATTATGTCTGTCTCCTAAAATCCTGAAAAAACGATCTGGATAAATGGGACTCCATCTGCAATTATTGTATCTCTTTCAGGCCCTTCTCATTCAGGGTACTGCTAAACACTTGGTCAGCTGTCAATCTTCTATTGATGCATTTATATTTCACAACAAACACCACTGGGTTTCTAGAAAAGTATTACACTCAGTCAGAGGCGTAACTAGAAACCACGGGGCCCCGGTTCGTAAATTGCCCTGGGGCCCCTCCATATATCTACCCACCACCACAAACATGCCGCTGCCCCCACGTCAATCTCCCACCCCATACATCCCCGCCCCCTCACACATGCAAACCGATACACACACACACCCATACATACATAGAGACACCCATACATACATAGAGACACACATACACACACACACGTAGACACACACATACATACAAACACACATAGACACACACTTCCTGTCACCATCCTGTTTCCTACCTTTTAGGTGCAGTGCAGTGACTTTCCCTGGGGTCCAGTGGCTCAGGCTGATAAGAGTCAGAGTTCCCACTCTGACTCCCTCCTCTCTTCCTCCCACGTGGGCTCTGTGATTGAAGGGAGGAAGTCACAGCATGGGCCGGGGCCGCAACACATGGCCGGTGGGCACTCTGTCGCAGGGGTCCACAGGGCGGCCGGGTCCCCTGGAGTGACGGGCCTGGTTGAAGCTGCAACCCCTGCGACCACAGTAGTTCTGCCACTGCATCCAACCTCTTGCTTTAGGTCTGGACATTTTTTTTTCCACTCATAATTAGAAAACCTGTACCCAACTGTACAAGAACATTCTTGGAGTTTATTTTTGCCCTGAATGAACTTCCACAAGAAAGCTGGAATGAATCTAATGCCTTAAAACTTATTAAGGAGCTGAATCAAGATTACAACTTGAATGGAGATGTTGATCGAAAAGGGAATGTAGTGGGAAATGTCAGTGTTCCAGTGATTGAAGCAATAAAAAGCCCTGCGGTGGTGAGAAGTGACTCACTATCCTCTTTAATAAACAGCCACAATGATTATAGGATTAGAAAGCTTTAGCTCCAGGTCTTGAAAACAAAAGGTAACGGGGAAAAAAAAAAACAAGAAATACATTTGACTTTCCGTTACATGAAATATACAAAACTCAGAGGTCTATGGAAGATCCCAAAAGGCGGTGGTTTTCTCTATCGACTTATTTGCAAATTGTACGAGAATATGACATTTTCCATAAATTGTAATGTAAATTGGAAAGTGTAATGGAATATATTTCTTGGAATCCCCATTGGCATATATTTGCATATTATGGCAGATAGAATATCATAATTTTTATTGTCTTTGTGCCCCTAACGCCTTTGCAGAGTTATATTTTATTGTGTCATATGTATGGTTGCTTTTATGATTCCTATATGATTATGTTTTATGTATTTTGTATTGGATTAAGTGGATCAGTACCTGTCTGGAAGGTGGAAGACAGGTAAAGGAGTCAGTACCCTTCTGGAAAGAAGAGGATAGGCAGAGGAGCTGATAGCTGCCAGGAGGATTCCGGTGATCCCTGATAACAGAGGAGAAGTTATGGAACAAATAGTGGGACAGATCTGGGTCCCAAGTTAGGGACCAGTCACCTCCTGTTCCCGTTACACTCAGACTAGCTGAGAATTTACAGAGTGCTATAGTGATGTTTAATGGGACACTCCAGATCCCTAAAGCATGTTAGCTTGCTAAAAAGTTTTATGTGTGACGAGTGTGTTCTATTTTCTAATTTAGCAAAAAAGTGCAGATTACCATAGAAATATATATAATATTATATATATTAACCTGGTTACATCCTGTGGTCTCCAAACATACTGCATGTTCTGTTACCAGTTCAGTGGAGCAAAACACAATAGGCAGCAATTGCCTTGCAAAGACTTTTCATTGAGCTGCATCGAGAAGTCTGTGATTGGACAGCCACAGAAAGTCTGGGTGGGGTTAAAAGGGGAGGGCTTGCAAAGGCTGCAGACAGGACATTTGCTTTTTTTCAAGATGTTTTTAGCTATACCTCAAAGAAAAAAAAATGCATAATTAAATGCATGCAAGTTTTCATGTTGGGTATATCTACTAAACAGTAGTTTTGTTTATTTTGTATTTGGGCAGTGGAGTGTTGATTTAAAGTAAGTTATGGTGGTTAAAGTATGCTTTTTAAACACACTAAAGATAGCATGGCAAAATAACAGCTATAGTACAATCACTTATTTTCATAGTAACATATTGATCTGACATAGCTCTTTTCTTTTAGGTTTTACTTATGTAAGATTCTCTTTTGATCTTCAAAGTACTATTTTTGAACACCTCCGTGTTATTCATTTACCAGTTGACTTGCTTATTAGTTGAGAATACATCTTAAGAATAAGTTTTCATACCTTGGACTGTTTCCACTCTTGTTACTTCACCCTTATTCATCCTTCTGACTTAACAAACAGTTTAGATAAATAAAATGTATTTCTTATCTTCTGACTATTGATCTACTTATTACTTAATTTGATCTTAGAATTGTCCAGTATTCTAATTGTGTGAGCTACGCAAAAAAACTAAAAATAAGGGGGAGGAGGAGGGGATCAAAAGCACTCTGGCTCAATCAAACATAAAGCAATATATGTAAAACCAATTAAAGAAAAAATTAACAGAGCTATAACTCTTCAACAAGTCTATGTTTCACTATCATAGATTGCACCATAATTCTCAGATGTGGGCCTAGGTTTGTATGGAAATGCTACACATTCACATAGCTCCCAATACATACAAAGATAAGTCATAACATCTAGGTATATCATCAATATTGACAATAATTAATCCACCAGTAGTACTGTAAAAAAAAAAACAGCTGGCATATTACTATACTTCTCCTTAATTCCTATCTAATCCCTTGTGTACAACATACGATTTGCAGAGATATTGATTATTAGATTCAACATTTGATATTCCTAAAAACATGCAATAACATCCTCACTACATAATGTTACCATTTACGGTCCTGTTGCAGTTAATAGGATCTTAGTAAGCAGTAATTTATGTTCACTGGCCAGCTTTGTAGAGTACGGAGCTTTACAAGAATCAGTGGGCTGAGGGTTGGTGGGTAGGATAAGCTACCAGAACTACAACCTATTCTGCAGCCTTTATTTTCTCCATAATATGAACTACAGTACATTGTGTATTGCTTCACCTAGACCACTTAACTACCACCTCTATATGTCGTTACCAAGTACAGTATCTCTTAATTCATGCTGTGCTAGTGGTTTCCATCTGCACTCACTCCAAAGAGTATATATGGCACAACGGAAAATCGTGTTCTCTGTATAGAAATAAAGCCTCTTTAAAAAGGTTTTAAATGGAGAAACACATTTATTGGAAGCATTTTAAATCTATTTTGCTTCTAGGTAACTGCATATAATATCCCACATGCACACGTTACTCCTTACTTTGTGGTGTAGATAGAATATATCGAATATCATCTCAATCAAATTGATTAAAAAAAAAACTATGTTTTAGAATGTTAAAAATCTTTACATTAGGGACAATAAAGTCACCAAAACAACTTTAGACTAATGAAGCAGTTTTTACGTATAGATCATGATTCTAAAGTTTCATAGCTCAATTATCTGCCATTTTTTTTTAAAGGATTTATTAACTAAATGCAAACAGGCTCAAATAGCCACAGTTTCACTATAGCAAAGTTTTAGATTTTTTATTTTTTTTTAAATTAAATTCATAACAAAGTAGATGGTTTAGCAATTTGATTTCAAACGTACACCAATTCACTGTTAAGTTAATAAACCCCAGTGTATTGAAGCAGCCACTTGCTATAGAAATAAAAACCGGCAGGCCATATTCTCTGAAGTCAATTAAATTTGTGATAGTATGGGAATATGTGACTAACCCATTACCTAACTGTCAAAAATGTTATCTCTCTTTGAAGTACAACAGTTTTATAAGCAGCCTTAAAAAAAAAACCTTTACTTTTCTAAAATTACATTTGTGACATTTTTCTGGCTCTTTTAAAAGGAACACTCTGGGCACCATAACAATTTAATAAAAATGAAGTTGTTATGGTGCCAGGATGCTTAGTGTTCTCAAACAGTTCCAGCACCGAATCTCCCTGCCACTCTGCCCTTCCATTTTAAAATCTGGAAACGAGTTGCCAACTAGTGACAACTCATTCAAAAAACAGGCTTCAAAAGAAATCTAATTAAAACAGCAAAGTGTGGAAACACAGTGTAACGTCCTAAAATATGGGATGATCTTGATCAGGTGTGCCTAAAAGGTATGCCTTTAGAATGGCAAAGCGTCATGGAAGCTGTAGTTCAACATCTGGGGATCTACTTTTTGGCCATCCCTGATCTATATGATTTAAACAAGTGAAAACATAAAGCACAGTTGAGGTAAATATCCTTACACTTGAGAAAGAGATCGATATCGTCAACAACCCAAAAATCTGTGGTTCAAGAAGCAATCTTCAGGATTGTAGAAATAAAATCTTGACATTATTTAATATCTTTAAAATAAAACCATAAACACAACACATGTAGTGTAGTGTAGTGGGGCGGCAGGGTTTTTTGTAGAAGGGGAGTCAGGGTTTTTTTGTAGAAGGGGGGCCACGGGTTCTGTAGATATGGGGGGCAGGATTCTGTAGAAGGAGGTGGAGGCAGCAGATTGTGAATGGGCCTGAAAGTGGCTTTTGGTAGTCAAATTCTCATTTGTGTCTTGACTTGGCACTATTTAGTCCTTAGGTCCCCCCACCCCCCCTGATGGCCCCCCTCCCGATGGGCTGAAGGGGTTAAAACCCTTTTAGCCACTTAGCTTTCACCAGCGCCGGACTCCCTAGGCACTGGTGGCCTCTCCTCCTCCTGCCGACGTCAGCACCAAATGTGCGTGCACATTCAATCAGCCCATAAGAAAGCATCACTCAATTCTTTTCTATGGACGTCAGAGTGTTCTCACTGTGATTTTCACAGTGAAAATCGCAGAAGCACCTCTAGTGGCTGTCAGTAAGACAGCCACCAGAGGCTGGATTAACCCTGCAGCTATGTTTTCAGCTGCATGGTTAAAACTAGAGGGACCTGGCACCCAGACCACTTCATTGAGCTGAAGTGGTCTGGGTGCCTATAGTGGTCCTCAGGGCCGGACTGGGGATACAAAGCAGCCCTGGAAAAAAAATGTGTGCCAGCCCCATAAGTCACTGCGCCATATATTGTCACGTGTGATGATTGAGTAATATTATACAGGGAGTGCAGCATTATTAGGCAAATGAGTATTTTGACCACATCATCCTCTTTATGCATGTTGTCTTACTCCAAGCTGTATAGGCTCGAAAGCCTACTACCAATTAAGCATATTAGGTGATGTGCATCTCTGTAATGAGAAGGGGTGTGGTCTAATGACATCAACACCCTATATCAGGTGTGCATAATTATTAGGCAACTTCCTTTCCTTTGGCAAAATGGGTCAAAAGAAGGACTTGACAGGCTCAGAAAAGTCAAAAATAGTGAGATATCTTGCAGAGGGATGCAGCACTCTTAAAATTGCAAAGCTTCTGAAGCGTGATCATCGAACAATCAAGCGTTTCATTCAAAATAGTCAACAGGGTCGCAAGAAGCGTGTGGAAAAACCAAGGCGCAAAATAACTGCCCATGAACTGAGAAAAGTCAAGCGTGCAGCTGCCACGATGCCACTTGCCACCAGTTTGGCCATATTTCAGAGCTGCAACATCACTGGAGTGCCCAAAAGCACAAGGTGTGCAATACTCAGAGACATGGCCAAAGTAAGAAAGGCTGAAAGACGACCACCACTGAACAAGACACACAAGCTGAAACGTCAAGACTGGGCCAAGAAATATCTCAAGACTGATTTTTCTAAGGTTTTATGGACTGATGAAATGAGAGTGAGTCTTGATGGGCCAGATGGATGGGCCCGTGGCTGGATTGGTAAAGGGCAGAGAGCTCCAGTCCGACTCAGACGCCAGCAAGGTGGAGGTGGAGTACTGGTTTGGGCTGGTATCATCAAAGATGAGCTTGTGGGGCCTTTTCGGGTTGAGGATGGAGTCAAGCTCAACTCCCAGTCCTACTGCCAGTTCCTGGAAGACACCTTCTTCAAGCAGTGGTACAGGAAGAAGTCTGCATCCTTCAAGAAAAACATGATTTTCATGCAGGACAATGCTCCATCACACGCGTCCAAGTACTCCACAGCGTGGCTGGCAAGAAAGGGTATAAAAGAAGAAAATATAATGACATGGCCTCCTTGTTCACCTGATCTGAACCCCATTGAGAACCTGTGGTCCATCATCAAATGTGAGATTTACAAGGAGGGAAAACAGTACACCTCTCTGAACAGTGTCTGGGAGGCTGTGGTTGCTGCTGCACGCAATGTTGATGGTGAACAGATCAAAACACTGACAGAATCCATGGATGGCAGGCTTTTGAGTGTCCTTGCAAAGAAAGGTGGCTATATTGGTCACTGATTTGTTTTTGTTTTGTTTTTGAATGTCAGAAATGTATATTTGTGAATGTTGAGATGTTATATTGGTTTCACTGGTAATAATAAATAATTGAAATGGGTATATATTTGTTTTTTGTTAAGTTGCCTAATAATTATGCACAGTAATAGTCACCTGCACACACAGATATCCCCCTAACATAGCTAAAACTAAAAACAAACTAAAAACTACTTCCAAAAATATTCAGCTTTGATATTAATGAGTTTTTTGGGTTCATTGAGAACATGGTTGTTGTTCAATAATAAAATTAATCCTCAAAAATACAACTTGCCTAATAATTCTGCACTCCCTGTATATATATATATATATATATATATATATATATATATATATATATATATATTGCTTTTTCTAATATAAAATATTGGTCCTTTCAGGGTAAAACGTTTAATTATACAGTAAGCATACTCAGGGTAAAACGTTTAATTATACAGTATGCAGACACAGGCAACTTCACTGACATCTCAATGACACACACAAGCTCATTGATACACAGCCTCATAGACAAACAATCTCACTGATATACATCAGCTCATTGACATAAAAACACAAGCTCACTCACTAGCAGGCACACGCATGCAAGCAAGCTCACTCACTACAGATGCACACACACAGCTTAATGTAGTGGTACTGGTGTCTATAGCATGTCCCTACAGGCTTTTCAATGTAAACACTGACTTTTCAGAGAAAAGGCAGTGTTTACATTGCTTCAAAGTGACACTGCTAGTGACAGTCACTCAGACGGTCACTAGAGGTGCTTCCTGTGTTAGTGCACCTACATTCAGGGCCTCCACACTCTGTAGGTGCTGAACGTTCCCCATAGAGATACATTGATTCAATGCATCTCTATGAGGAGATGCTGATTGGAGTGGTGTTTTGCAGCCAATCCTATGGCAAAGCATTGGATTGGCTGAGATCATCAAGCTTGATGATCTCAGCTATAGAGGCAGGGCCAGTCGAGGGGAGACCAGCACGCTGCGTGGGGAAAAAAAAGGTGAGCAAAAACACTATTTTTAAACACACATATACCATGATAGATACACACCCCATGACAGACACACACACACACACACCCCCATGACGGACAGACACACACACACACCCCATGATGGACAGACACACACACACACACCCCCCCATGACGGACAGACACACACACACACACACACCCCATGACGGACAGACACACACACACCCCATGACGGACACACACACACACACCCCCATGACGGACAGACACACACACACCCCCCATGACACACAGACACACACACATCCCCCATGACGGACAGACACACACACCATGACACAGACAGACACACACCATACAGACAGACTCACATGCAGACACACACAGACACACACCATACAGACACCATGACAAAGACAGACAGACACACACACCATAACAGACAGACAAACTCACACTGACACATTACTAATACCTGCCAGGGGGAGGTCTTCTGGAGGCCGCTGGGGAGGTCTGCTGGCGGCCGCTGGGGAGGTGTTTTGGCGGCCGCTGGGGAGGTCTTCTGGCGGCCGCTAGGGGAGCTGCGCTGGCTCTGCTCTCCCGCCCTCGCGCACTGCTGAATGAGACCGGCGCCGGAATATGACGTCGTATTCAGCTGCGCGCTGGGGAGCATAGCCAGCGCAGCTCCCCCAGCGGCCGGCAGCAGACCCAGGTGTCTGCCCGGCCCCAGGTGCCGACGGCCCACCGGGAAATTTCCCGGTATCCCGGTGGGCCAGTCTGGCCCTGGTGGACCTTTAAGGATTAACAAAGATATTGGTGTTTATTTAATAAACAGCAGATTGCAGTCAATTGAAAACCAAATAGCTAAAATCAGACTAAAATCAGCAAGCAGTGGAAATAGCTACCTGACCATATCCATCACTCATAGGCAGACATCTACAAATTCAGAGAAATTTAGTATATCTTGAAAGTTAGGCTCGAGGGTAGGTTTGCCGGCTATGATTAGTTAGGCCTATTATGAAACAGATAAAAAAAAAAAAAAAAAAACAGAATTTTCTTTTGAATACATAGAGGCAGACTAGTTATCAGCCCAGAACAATCAGCTGCTCATTGCTAAAATAATAATTGGGGTTAGATTATTTTGGACCCAAAGGCTATATTAGCTTTAATACGTTAAAATCAGATATCGAAGAGCCTGTGAGATGGAGAAGAAACTGGCTTTTTGCTGCTATAAGAGGGACAGGTGACAGTGTAATTCATACATTTTCTATAATCATGCAAGAGTCACGATATTTCACACCTGTTTAAGGAGTTCCATAGCGCCAACCTATTCCGCATCGCTTTACAATATTATAAGAGGGGGATTTTAACAATAAATTAGACAATTGCAAAATGTTACAGGAACAACAGGTTTGATGAGCACTTTGCTCAAGCAGCCATTTATAAAAGTCTCCACCATTCCTTAGTAAATATTAAAGGAACACTATCGTGTTAGGAATACAAATAGATATTCTTAACGCTATAGAGCGACTAGGGCCCTGTTCTGCAGCGAATAAAGGGTTCATTAACCATTTATTTGCTTACCTTAATCCAGCGCCGATCTGCACGCTCATTCAAACCCCCCCCTCACATAGGAAAGCAATGCTATGGGGATCTTTTTTGACGATGGACTCAGTGAGGACATCCAGCATCAAATAAGTGCGATTTACTCCGTGTAAATCGCGGAAGCAGCCTCTTTTGGCTGTCAGGGAGACAGCCACTAGAGGCTGGATTAACCCTGCAATGTAAACATAGCAGTTTCTCTTAAACTGCTATGTTTTCAGCTGCAGGGTTAAAATTCGGGGGACCTGGCACGTACACCACTTCATTGGAGTGTGACCATGGGCAGGCTGTTCTAAAAAAGGTTAGGTGACTTACGGATAACATTTTATACAACTAAAATGTAATTTAGAACAAGAACAATGCATCTTATTTACACAGACGGATTACAAAACACATTTATTGTAGTTTATTGAGACATTCCTGGGAGTATTATTGCTGTGGAGCTGTTATACACTCAGACACACCAACAATATGGAGCTCCTAGAAAAGAGGGACATTATAAAAGAAAAGAGGGACAGGGATTGGGCCCCAAATAGGTGGTCTCTCTCATAACTAGGGATACTTGGGAGGAATGCACTACTAAAGGGACACTATAGACACCCAGAGCACTACATCACATTGAAGTGGTCTGGGTGCAGTGCCTCTCTGACCCTTTAGTCCCACAATGTACAACAGTGCAGTTTTAGAGAAAACTAAGGCTGCCTCTAGTGGTTGTCTACACTGCATGAGGATATCCAGTGTCAAGGAAAACCCGATTGGAAAGCTTTGAGGCAATTATTTCCTATGGGGAAGGCCTAATACGCTTGCCGGGCATGCGCATTAGGTCCCTCCATCAGATGACGTCAGGGGAAGTGGACCGTGACCCAGCGCCGATTGACCCTTAGCAACATGGGAAGCAAGCAGTGGGGGCTGATAAACACATAATGTTTGCTTTAACCATTTACAATGCAAATATAATTGGTTTTAAATAATATTTTTTTTTTAATCTGGATGAATTCACAAGTTAATTTTAACCAACAAAAACCAATAAGCATTTCCAGTATATAGCAATGTCTTTGTCCTTGCAACTTGAAAGGACTTGTTTCTGTAAATATTAATTCGTTTTTTTGTGGTCATTAAAAGAACTATTAAGAGTCCTTGGGTAACATTTTTTTTTTTTTTTAAATACTTTTTCAGTGTGTGATTTTATGCATACAAAATAAAAATTGAATTTGCATCTATGTAGCAATTAATGGCAGCACTTTATTGCAACCTTTTGCATTTGTTATTTAAAGGGACACTAAAGTCACCCAGATCACTTTATCTCAATGAAGTGGTCAGGTGTGGTGTTTCTGTCCTGTAACTCTGCAATGTAAAACATTGCAGTTTTTGAAGGTTAGATTCACCTCTAGTAGCGGTCAGTATGATGGCCACTTGGGGGAAGTTTGCAATACATGCACATTAGATCCCCAATGATCCTCTATGATGAATTGGACCATTATGGAGGAGACCATGCCTCCTCTGTGTGATGTTGTGGGATGCAGGAAGATGAACAAGGTGAATAAGTGGGGTACAAATTAAATATTTTTTATGGCAAATGGTAGCGGGAGGCAATGTGAAGCTAAGGACAGAGACATTGTTTTCTTCGTGCTATAGTGTTCCTTTACGTTTAGGATTTAGCCCTCTTGTTGGACTAGGTTTCCATTCATAACTAATCACCAGCTCATCAACAATTACGTGGACAAAATATGTTGGCGGGCACTTGCTTTCATCATCTTAATTACCTACAGATTGCATCATGTTATATTCTGAAATGTTTACATCAATGTTATTCTATAGAGCAAGTGTTCTCAACCCAGTCCTCAAGGAACCCCTAACAGTCCAGGATTTAGGGATTACCTTGGTGTGTCTAAGGTATTTAGAAAAAGAAAAAACTGTTTAGAAGGACAATTTAAATCAGACAAGGCCAAAAGGCAGATCCCCATTTGCAGACATACAACTCCTGCGATTCTCTGCAGGCTGGCAAGACATCATGAGAGTTTTGGAAATATTTTTGAGCCCACTCTTGAGTCTATATATATATATATGAAAATGTTTTACCTTCAATAATCTGAACATAAAATAAAGCGAGTAGAGCACAGAAGCAGATCTTGTGTTTTATTTTACTCTCCACGCAATTAATAAAAAAAAAAAAGCCGCATTTTGATCAAGCACATCCAAAGTAGAGATACATACACCCCCACGCTCCACCAATCATGTGGGATTCATGCTCCCCAGGGATATACACAGGTTGTGTCTTTATTTTGGAAGGTGTGTTTTTTTGGAACTAGAGCAAATATTTAGGTTGTCCTGCACAGTTTCACATATTAAAATTAACAATAAAAGTCCATTCACCTAATTTCAGGAACAAAAAAAAAATCAAGTATATTACTGGATATTTGTAGTAGGTAAAGAATCAAAGTTTCCACTGCAGCATCTTCATTTCAGGCAACATCCAGGTGATTCTATTGCACAGTTTACAGGAAACAGAGTTAACTCTGGCCATTGTCAAAGCGTTGTCAATAAAGCTGTAAAGAGTTTGAATCTATCGTTTTCACGTAACTGCATCCCAGCTCATTAGTCTTCCAGGATGTTGAGGAGTTATTATATCCATGCAATAACATCCAAGTGCTGTCTGTATGCTGAAAACAGCTGTTGCTATATCAGAATATATCTAAATACGGAAAACATTTAAGGTTCTCATTAAAGTGCAAGAATGACTGTTCACCGCATCGTTCACAGGTCAGAAGAAGACCTAAGAAGACCCGTCTTCATTTTTTTTTTTCCTCAGATGTGCATTATTTAATTATATGTTCGTTATTTTCATCACCCACACAGTTTAAAAATGTGTACTTACTTTTCTCAAGAATATTATTTTAATTACACATCTGAAGTGTTGAAAGAATCTTGCATTGAGATGGTGTTGACTTGCAAAATTTTTCTAAAAAGGTGTATTTGGATTATAACCCTTATGGTAACAAAATATATCCACTATGACAGCACAACTATTAATGGAATACTGTGAATTTAATATAGTCTGCCTCAGGTTTCAGCAGAAGGAGATCAACCTCATATTACCCTCTAGACAATGCATTTTTTACAAACCAGGAACATTCCCTTGAGTCTGTCTTCATTGTGGAACTATTGTGTCTTATGGACGAACCATCAGAGCCAGCCTGAGTGATCTTTGTTGTAAAGACTGCGGTCTTAGCAATAATTATTGAGGAAAAAAAAAAGTGTATATACATAATAAACATATGGAAATAAAAAGGTACATTATGATCACACGGGGCCTACAAAGTTATTGTATTGTACAGTTCTTCCACACCAGAACTTGTAACCATATGGTAGAAAAGGCACCATTCAGTTGTGGTTTTCTTAGGAATATCAGGAAACACCACATGTGATAGGCATTCAAGAACAATGAGTGCAAATCTTCTGACTGGTTGGAAAACTTTAAAGGCCGTAAGACAATGAAAACCAAAATCCCAGCCTATAGATTCTGCACTTCCCAAGAAACAAAAAAGAGAGAAAAATAATGAAAGAGAAAATATGGGGAGATCAGAGTAATAATTTAACAGTATTCCTTCCCCCACCCACCCTCAAGCATGTACAGAAAAAGACAATCCAATGAAAGCCACCTCTGAGTTTTAGCCCATGCAGATAGACAGTGAGGTGGTGGGCAAAGACAGGGCATCCTTGTATATTGTTAGTGAGAGGTGCTTGCTTATCTTCCCACGGGAGCCTCTAAGCCAACACAGACAGTCCCAGGACACCGTCAGAAGCCGCATTTCTTTAATCTTTGAACAAGATGAACTCTCACATTTCTAAGCATTGCACATTCACGCTTTTGCTTCCCACTTAGGACAACAGTTCAGAAGATTTTGTTTCTGTGTCACTATCACTCAGGTAGCTTCGTGGGGAGTACTTGGATCGGTATGTGCTCTCAATGTTGTCCCGCTCCTCATCTGATCTGTCATAATTTAGTGGTTTTCTATAGGATGGGGGACTGTAGAAAGGAACAAAAGTAATCATTAAAAAGCAGCCAACAAACTCATTAAAATAGTCATTCAGGACCATCAGAGAATAATCTCCCATAAAGTAAAGTAAAATATATACACAAATGCATGCATGATCTCATTGTCCTAGTCTAACATCAACACTATATTAAACTCTAATATACATAGTACATTGTGCACTCACAAACAAATAAGTTACAGTAATGTCCCATTTATAGCCATATTATCAACAAACATACAATACATATTCCACTATGACTTATTCTTTCATACTTCTCCCGCCAAATAATAATAAATAATTTAAAAAATAGCACAGGCATTTAACATAGGGTAGGTGGCTTTCGTAATTGGTGTCTGAGGATAGTGGAAGCATATCTTCAACAACTAAGACTACAGCTACCTTAGAATGAAAATCATAAAAGCTCTGGATTGTTTAGTACAATATGAGTTTTGCAGAAACAGCATTTCTGGGGCAATGTTCTACAAGTGGAGGAATTCAAAGATACAGTCTATGGTTTCTATGGTGATAGCACCGACATTAGAGTTGTGCCTCAATTTATATTTATGCATATTTTCTGATTATATTCAGCAATCTACAAAGATTTATAAAGTGTA